GTTTAGTCTATAGTCTGGAGTATAGTTTAGTCTATAGCATGCACTATAGTTTAGTCTATAGTCAAGTCTACAGTCTGGACTATAGTTTAGTTTATAGTCTGGACTCAAATTTATTCTATAGTCTGGACTATAGTTTAGTCTATAGTCTGGACTATAGTTTAGTCTATAGTCTGGACTATAGTTTTATCTATAGTCTGGACTATAGTTTAGTCAATAGTCTGGACTATAGTCTAATCTAGTCTATAGTCTAGTCTACAGTCTGGACTATACTCTAGTCTATTGCCTTGACTATAGACTAAACTATAGTCTGGACTATGGAGTAGTCTATAGTCTGGACTATAGTCCAGACTATAGTATGGACTATAGTCTAGACTATAGTTTGGACTATAGTCTGGACTATAGTTTGGACTATAGTCTGGACTATAGTCTGGACTATAGTTTGGACTATAGTCTGGACTATAGTCTGGACTATAGTTTGGACTATAGTTTGGACTATAGTCTGGACTATAGTCTAGTCTATAGTCTGAACTATAGTCTAGTCTATAGTCTGGACTACAGTCTAATTTATAGTCTGGACTATAGTCTAGTCTATAGTCTGGACTATACTCTATAGTCTGGACTATAGTCTAGTCTATAGTCTGGACTATACTTTATAGTCTGGACTATAGTCTATAGTCTGGACTATAGTCTAGTCTATAGTCTGAACTATGGTCTAGTCTATAGTCTGGACTATAGTCTAGTCTATAGTCTGGACTATAGTTTAGTCTGTAGTCTGGACTATAGTATAGTCTATAGTGTGGACTATAGTGTGGACTATAATCTGGACAATAGTTTGGAGTATAGTCTGGACAAAAGTTTGGACTTTACTCTGGACTATAGTCTGGACTATAGTTTGGACTATAGTTTGGACTATAGGTTGGACTATAGTATGGATTATAGTTTGGACTATAGTATGGATTATAGTTTGAACTATAGTCTGGACTATAGTTTCGACTATAGTCTGGACTATAGTTTGGACTATAGTTTGGACTATAGTATGGACTATAGTTTGGTCTATAGTCTGGACTATAGTTTGAACTATAGAATGGATTATAGTTTGGACTATAGTCTAGACTATAATTTCGACTATAGTCTGGAATAAAGTTTGGACTTTAGTCTGGACTATTGTCTGGACTATAGTCTGAACTATTGTTTGGACTATGATCTGGACTATATTCTGAACTATAGTCTGAACTATAATCTAGTTTATAGACTTAACTATAGTCTAGTCTATAGTCTGGACATAAATCTAGTTTATAGTCTAGTTTAAAGTATGAACTATAGTTTGGACTATTGTCTAGTCTATAATATGTACTATAGTCTAGTCCATAGTCTGGACTATAGTCTAGTCTAGTTTATTGTCTAATCTATAGTCTGGACTATAGTCTATTCTATAGTCAAGTTTACAGTCTAGTCTATAGTCTGTCTAGACTCGACTATAGTCTGGACTCCTAGTTTAGATGATAGTCTGGACTATTGTCTTCTCTATAGTCTAGTCTTAAGTCTAATTTATAGTATATAGTCTAGTTTCTAGCCTAGTCTATAATCTAGTCTATAGTCTAATCTATTATCTGAAATCTAGTCTATTCCTTTAATTTTTATATTAATTCTAATTTTAATTATTTTTTGTTGTAATTAGTTGCTATTTATAAAAAAACAACATGACATTTTATTTTTTAATTATTTTTTCTTTAAATGTTCAAAAACCTTTTAAAAAATTAGCATTTTTTGTCTTCATTACAATTTTCAATTAATTTAGCTTGAAAAAAAAACTAGTCACAAAAATAGAAACCGTTACAACAATTTAAAAGTATTTGAAATTTAACTAACTGAAAAAAAAAAACAAAATTAATGTGTGTATTTAAATTTTAAAATGCGTTGGTTTTTTTTAACGAAAATTTAAAATAATCTACAACTATGTAAGTGTATTGACGTCATATGTATTTATTTTATAACATTAACTATTTTAAGGTTTTTTTCCATCAGCTTCTTTCCAATAATACAAAAAAAAAAGAAACAATAAAATTAGTTTTTTTTCTAACTTTGAGCCTCATCTTTAAAATTATTGAAATTGTATAGAAAACTAAATTATTGTAACCTGCTTTATGTAATAAAAAAATAAAGAAACAGATTTTTAAAGTATGGGTGAGAGAGTAGTATTTAATACAATGACAATAAATAGAGATCTCTTACCACACACTAACATGTTGTTGTTGTTGTTATTATTATTAGTACTACAACTACAATATATGGAAAAAAATAAAATATAATTTTTAGGTTGTTGTTTGTGTGTATTTTTGTATTTTTTTTTATTATTTTAATCTCTCTTATTGGCCAACATGTACATTTATGTATTTATTTTTGTTGTTGGTATTTAATGTGCGTGTAGTTTTCATTGGTTAAAATTATTGTGTTGTTTTTGTTTTTATTATTGTATATAATTTTTTTTTTTTTGTTTTGTACATTTTTTTCTTGTTCATTGTATGTATTTGTTTTTAATGTATAGTTTATTTTTTTTTTCTTCTTTTTATTGTAGGTTTATTATTTTAAGTTTGTGTAGTTGTCGTTGTTGTTGTAGTTGAATTGAGTTTGATTGTTTTTTTTTTTTGTGTTGTTTTCTTTACAATTTAGTTGTGTACGTACAATAAATAAAACATTTGATTACTTTGGTTGTTGTTTTTTTGTTGTAGAGGTGAGTGAGTAGTTGCGAGTGTAAGTTATACTAGAGCGGTAATATTTTTTTATTAATACAATGATTAAATCTACGCAAGTTTACGCCCCTTAATAATGACAATTTAAGTTTTTTTTTCTACTTTTTTTTTCTGTCACTTACTAGTGTTGATGGTTTTAGTTTCTTTTTTTTTCTCCTTTCTCATTTAATAAGTTTTTGTGCCTGTTTGTAAGAAGAAATCTTGTTTAAATCTTAATTTACATTTTATTAACATTATTTAGGAATTTCAAATCAATTTTAAAGTTCTTTTGTTTCTTTTGGAGTTGAAGCAAGAAAAAAAAGGTCAATTCCGGTCATATGATAATTTCCAAAAAAAGTCTTTGTTTAATCATTTTTCTTGTATTGTTTATGTTGTTTTATGGGGTTATTAACAAATAATCATAAAAAAAATAATATTCTAAAAATAGTTATAAACAATTTTAATTGACATAAAGGCGTTAACTTAAGCTGTAGCCTAGAAAAAGTACAGTTTGTTCGTAAACAATTTAAACTATTTTGATATTATAACTCTACAAGGTAAGACAAATTCTTAAAAAAAAAAACTACAGTCTAGACTATAGAGCAATTGCTCTATATATGAAATGAGTTTTAGAGCGTGATGTAGAAGAAGATTAAAATTTAAAAATATCGCATACAGCTGTATGGCTAAAGCTTTAAATTATGCACTAAAAGTTTAAAATAAACGAAATAAAGCTCTACGTCAGAACTTTAAAAAGTAGCATATAAATCTCTACAACTAAAGCTTAAAATGGGCTACAAAAAGCTTATTAGAAACAAAAGCTTTAGAATTAAAGTTTAAAAAGCTTAAAGTAGCATATAAATCTCTACAACTAAAGCTTTAAATGGACTATAAAAAGCTTATTGAATTAGAAATAAAAGCTTAAGAATTAAAGTTTAAAAAGCTCAATGAAAAAGCTTAAAGAATTCTACATAAAACTCAACGACAAAAGCTTAAAAGGAACCACATGTACCTCTATGATTGAAGCACGTAAAGCTCTACATTTTCAGCTTAAATTGTATTAAACAAAGCTCTACTATTGAAACTTCAAATGGATTACTCAAAGCTTTTAATTAAAGCTTATAATAAACTTTAAAATTAACTACTATCACAGCTAAAACTAAACTAAAATTGCTTTAAATGGATCAAGTAATGTTCCACGACAGAAGCTTAAGATAAACCAAATAAAGCTCTAGAATTGAAAGTAATAATGAAATACATAAAGCGCTACTGATAGAGCTTAAATTGGACGAAATAAAGCTTTTTGATTTAAATTTAAAGTTAGTAAACACAAAGCTTTCTATTAAAACATATAATGAATTTGAAGATGATATGTACTCAGAGCTGAAACTGGTTTAAATATACCATATAAAGCTTTACAATTAATGAAGCACATAACTATCTCTAACTGATACAAAAAAATGTGCTTTATAAAGCTCTAAGATGGAAGCTTATAATAAAGCATATAAAGATCTACAATTGAAGTTTAAAATTATGTACATAAAGCTCAACGATTGAAGCATAACATTGACTACACAAAGCTTTTCAATTAAAACTTATAGTAAACTTTAGAAAGGTCTTCCGAAAAAGCTAAAGCTGGACTACAAAACGACTTGCTACTAAAGCTTAAAAAGGCCCATAAAGCTTTAAATTGGGCTATGCAGAGATCAAAAGTTGAGCTGTATACGGATCTACAAATTAGTCTCAAACTGAACTATATAATGCTGTGAAATCAAAGCAAAAGTGGGGCAGCATAAGTTCCCACGATTGTAGTTCAAATTATACTACAATCAAAGCTTTAAATGGTCTGAATGAGGACCTACATTTAAAGTTAAAAGTGGACTATTATTCAAGCTTAAAATGAACTATAAAGAAAACTTGCATAATGATACACGATTACTTTTTAAATTGGACAATAATTAAATCATAAATGAATTACTGTCTCACAAAGCTTAAAAAGCTCTTGAAATATTACAAAAAAGCTCTTAAATAGCAAAGCTTTAGAACACAATATTAGCATTTAAATCAAACTTAACTTTTGAAATAAAAATTGCAAATACATTTTGCTAACAGACCAAAACAATAAATGTTTACAAACCCTTGCTTTAGCAATAGTTTCTTAAGTGATTTCATTTTTCAACAATTAAATATTTATTAAAAACTTAAAATTCATATTTACTTATAAACAAATTTTTATTAAAACAAACAATTTTTTTCTCTATTTACTTACAGAATTCCGTCCACTTATTGAAATTTAATAGCTAAACTAAACAAGACAAACGAACAAAACTAATGTTGGGGTCACTGCGTTAAAAAGACAAAAGAAATCCTTTTTTTTAGAAACATTAAACTCAACAATAGAAAAAATGGAACTTTAGCTAAACTCAAAAAATCTAAAAAAAATTTTATAAAAGACAGACAAAAAAACCCTTAATGGCCTAGTTTGCATACTCAAAAAGGAAAACTATTAATAATTTAAACAATATAAAAAATAACAAACTAAAAGGATTGCATTAATTCCCTATTAAAAATAATAAACAAATAGAAATTTTTCAAAGAAAACACACAAATTGTCTTCATATAACAAAACGATATCAAAACAAAACATAACTGATTTCCCTTAAAATTCAAACAAAAAACAAACACTACGACGCAAATGACTGAATCAACACAATTACAAACAGCAGAGAATAATAACGCAGGGGTTGTTAAAATGGAACCATTACCGCCTGCCGCCACCACAGCCTCAACAGCCAATACAAATTTGGCCACTTCGCCAGCACCATCATCCGTTATGGAACAACAGACACAACAACAGCAAACGGCTGCTATAATAAGTGCAACATTACAACAGCAGCAGTTGCAACAGCAGCAACAACAACAACAACAATATGCTTTAAAATGGAATGATTATCAAACCTCTATGTTGAGTTCATTTCGTCATTTGAGAGATGAAGAAGATTTTGTCGATGTTACTTTGGCCTGTGATGAACGTTCCTTTACCGCTCACAAGGTCGTACTGAGCGCTTGTAGTCCTTACTTTCGTAAATTGTTAAAGGCAAATCCATGCGAACATCCCATTGTTATATTGAGAGATGTGCCGGCCGATGATGTGGAGAATTTATTGAGGTGAGTGTTAATGCTTTGTTGTTTTTGTTGAAAGAACTTTTTTATAAACTTTTTTATAAAAAATAGTGAAAAAGCTTTAATATAAAAAAAGATTTTTAAAGAAAAAAATTGTGAAAAGCTTTTATATGAGAAAGCTTTTTTAAAGAAGCTTTTAAAAAAAGCTTTTATATGAGAAGCTTTTTTTATACCTAAAAACTTTTATATAAAAGCTTTTTTGTACAAAAACTTTAATATAAAAAAGCTTTTTATGAAAAGAATTTTTGGAAAAAAGCTTATATTGTAAAAACTTTATACTTTTTTATACAAAAACTTTCAAACTTTATACAAAAACGTTTATATAAGAAAGCTTTTTATGAAAAAGATTTTTAGAAAAAAATCTTATATCGTAAAAACTTTATGCTTTTTTATACAAAAACTTTAATATAAAAAAGCTTTTTTATACAAAAACGTTTATGTAAAAAAGCTTTTAATGAAAAAGATTTTTGAAAAAAGCTTATATTGTAAAAACAATTTTAGGTGAACATTAGTTTATAAAAAAAATTGTGAAAAAAGCTTTTTCTGGAAAAAAAAACTTTTATATAAAAAAGCTTTCTATGGAAAAACTTTTCTATAAAACAATGACTAAAAAAGAACTTTTATTAACGTTTATAATTGACCCCCAATTCCTTCACCCCTTTCCAGCTTTATGTACAACGGCGAAGTCAATGTGGGTCATGAACATTTGCCGGAATTCCTAAAAACCGCCCATTTACTACAAATACGAGGTCTAGCCGATGTCAACAATGGCTCTTCGGCCTCCTTCACACCTACACTCGCTTCCTCAACGCCCTCCAATAAATTGAATAATACAGCGCTAAACAGTCAACTATCGGGCAGTACGAACAAATTGAATTTCTTGACAGCTGCTACCCAAGCTTTAAGCAATTCCTCCAACTCACCATTCACAACACCATCTCTAGGATCGACTACACCTTTAAATAATTTATTAAATAATAGCAGCAGCAATCTAAATAATAATAGCAGCAATAATAATAACAACAGCAACAGTAACAATAATAACAGCAGTAGCAACAACAATAATAATAACAAAAATAACAATTCGAATAGTGGAAATACCCCTGCCATACAGGAATTGAAGGCCTCGTCAGCGTCTCCCGTAAGAAAATCAAACATTAACAATAAAGTAATGTAGACACTTCCCCAAAAAATCAAACGGAAAAAAGATTTGTCGCGAAATGAAAGAGTTTTTTATGTAATTTTTGTTTCTTTTTCTTTTCATTTGCATATTATATAGGCTAATCATTGGGACTTATCGGATTCGGATAGCAATCGTAATAATCATTTGACGCCTCCTCCTCAGAAAAGAATAAAAAGTGCTGATTTGTTTCGTGCCCAACATGGTATCAGTCCCGAACGTTTGCTAATCGATCGTGAATTCCCAGTAGCTGGTCAACATCCTTTAACACGTAATCGTGATCGTAGCCGTGAAACCTCACGTGATCGGGATCGCGAAATGCGTGAATCTTTGTTGGGCCAGGCTTTGGAAAATACAAATGGTTTGCAGGTAAGTATTATATAAAAACTACAATAACCTTGAGATATTTATATAAAACTTACAAGATTTAACAGATCAGACAGATGTAAAAAAAAAATTTCAAAACTCTTTACTCATTTGTTTTTTTGTTGTTGTTATTTTATCTTTCTCAGAAACAACATCCCGATATGGCCTCTCTACATGCCCAAAGCGCTGGTGAAGACTCAAATAGTTCCGATACTGAACCCTCTGATCGCGGTGATGCCCAACATGATGGCACTATGGACTCTATGGACAATCAACGTTCTCATTCCTTCCCCAATGCCTTTTTAGGTTTACAAGGTATACCCGGCCTATTGCCAGGTCCTTCCGGTATGGCTGCTAATGATTTCGGTAAGTCCACAAGTTTTCTATTTTCTTTTCTAATATCAACTTAATTAAATATTTGAAACTATATACATACTATATATTTGCCTCTTGTTGTTATGTTGACAAAATTTGCTCATCTCGATTTGTAATCAGAAAAAGATATATAAAAAAAAAATCATGTATTAAAAAATACCAAAATCAAAAATTAAAACCAATTGGATCTACTTAATTTTTATTTTGCATATTTTTTTTTAATTTTTCAATTAAAGTAAACCATATCAAAGAAAAAGCATGTAGTATTCTTTATTTATTTTGAATAATGGCAAATCGGAGTATATAGAGTAAAACTAATCAGATAAGAAAACGAATTGGAACAAATTGGCTTAAGCTAAATTAGTTATGTAAGTGTTACAAAAAAAAATTATCAAAATTTTATATAAAATTTATAAAGTTTATAAGATATTTGCCATTATAATTTAAAACAACAATATAGTTTTAAAACACCCAGCATCTGCTTAAATCCTAAAGGATTTGAACTGAAAATTATTAAAAAAAAATGTAATACTGGTCCGTTTTTAACTATTAACAGCTTTACAAAAAAGTCTTTTAAATAATTTCAAGCTTTTTTAGTTAAAACATGTTTATGCTAACTTTTAGTTTAACTAAACTCAGTTTAACTTGCCAGGAGCTTTTAAATAAAAGCTTTTCTCGGATTATTTAAACTTGTTTTTAAAGTAGCTCTGCAAAATAAGCTTAATTTGTCAAAAGCTTTTTCTACAAGCTATATTTGAAGTTTTTAGCGAAATTTTTGTGGATTATGAAAGTTTATTTTTGTTAAAGCTCTTCTGAAGCTTTGTTGCTTGGAAAGTTGTAAAACTCTTTTTTAAAATTGAAAGAGTTGAGAGAAAATATTTTAACAACGAAAACTTTTAATGTAATTAATGACTTATTGAAAGCTATTAAGCTTTTCCGAAAGCTTTATTTAAAGCTTTTAAAGATATACTCTTGAATCTACAATATTTCAAACTAGTTTTCTTAAAGAGAAAACTGTTCAAAAACTTATTCATTTAAATTAAGTTTAGTTTGCTAAAAGTTTTTATAAAAGCTTTTAAAAGATTTTTTGAAATTTTTGAAAAACCTTTATAAATTAAAGCTAAACCAGACAAAAGCTTTTGGGAAAGTTTATCTGTTGTTAAACTTTAAAAAGTTTTATTAAACAAGGTTTAGTTATCCGCCAAAAGCTTTTTGACTGATAATATAAAACTTTTATATTAATGTTTTTTTTTTTTTAAGTATTTTATTAAAGCTTTATTATCAGCCAAATGCTTTTTGGGAAACTAATTTATTCAAATTATATTAAAGCTTTTATATGAATGCTTTTTTTAAGTTTTGTATTAAAGCTTTTATACAAAAGCTTTTATAGCATTTATATAAAGTTTTTTTCTAAGTTTTTTATTAAGGCTGTTAAAAAGCTTTTATTTTAAAGCTTTTTTATATAAAAAGCTTTTATTTTAAATTATATTATAAAAAGGAAAATGAAAAAATTGGATTGATCTCTTTCAAATTTGCAGCCAAAAGCTTTTTGGGAAACTAGTTTATTCAAATTATATTAGAGCTTTTATATGAATACTTTTTTAAAAAAGTTTTTTATTAAAGCTTTTATATAATAGCTGTTTAATATAACATTTATATAATGTTTTTTTCGTTTAAAAAGTTTTTTATTAAGGCTGTTAAAAAGCTTTTATTATAAAGCTTTTTTATATAAAAAGTAAGATGAAAAATTGGATGCAACTGTTTTAAATTTACTCTGGTTTAAAAAGTAAAGAACTACACAAAAATCCCTATATAAAGCTTTTTAAATTGTGGACACTTTTATAATTATAGAGATTTTTCTTTATAGTTAATCGAAAGAGCTTTTTTGAGAGCTTTTAAGCTATTAAATTGCTAAGGAACTTAATGAAACAGCAATTAATTAAACCGTAAATGTAACAAAACAAAAGTTTACTCAAAAGCTTTTGTCTTTGGGATATAAAGCAATTAAAATATAATTAAAGCTTTTCTTTAATTAAAACGGCTGCTGGGTTGTTTTATAAAAAACGGTTGCAAACCGTTTGAATTTTATTTAAATGTCATTAAAAACAAAACTATATTGCTTGCCCTTAACTTTATTATAAACAATTATTTAAAAACTATAAATATTTATTATAATTTTTGTATTATTTAATAATATTTAAAACTTAAAACAAAATGAAAGGTGAAAATTCTTGCTAAGTTTCCCCCTCCAACTAAAAATTCTTAAGCTAATATGCTTTATTTTAACAACAATTACCAGGATATTATAGCCAAAACGTGTTTCAATTTAACACTTAATATGTTTTAATATATATTTATTTCTACTATATTTTTTTTGTTCTTTTGTGCTACAGATTTTATTTGCACATTTTGTGTCATCGAAAAATACTTGAAAACAATAACTAAAAATTATTTTTATGATTATTGTGCTTTACCATAAAAATAATAATAATCAAAGACATTTAGTCAATGTGTTTTATACCCTCTCAAAAAAACAAAATCATTTGATGACCCATCTTTAGAGGATTGTGTGAAATGTATTTGATATTTACCATTAAATTATCTATTTCTATGCACATATACAAATAAAATATTATTATTTTTGAACATTTGTTCAATATTAACAATATGTATGAAATAATATTGCATATAAAAAGGCGCTGCTTCAATATATGTATATTTTTTTAATATTCAATACACATCTATTTAAACTGACCATACGTTTTATGTGTGTGTAATAAGTTAAATACAGGGTGTGGTGGTGTTTAATAGGAAATTGTAGAAATGTTTATATGTGTGTACATCTATAGTTAAGGGTTGCCAAGCAATGACTTGGTTCGTTTTTTTTGTTATATTTGTTTTTATTTAAGGATGTTGTTTTATTCCTTTAAGCCATGCATGTGTTTTTTTGTATGTATATTTCTTTTATTATGATTATAATAATCTATAAACATTCAATATCTATGCTTATGTCCTGTTAACGACCATTAACATGTATCTGTGTATGTATATGTTGTATTACGAGGATATTTATAATGTATGTATACTTATGTAGATTATTTAATACATTTAACATATACACATGCTTAATATAAATAGTCCTGGTGTTATGTTATTCTTATGACATCTAATAAAGAACAACTACTCATCATTGGGCAAAAAAAAAAACAAGCTCATGAAAACAATGGGATACTATTATTTGTAATTCAAATCGTTAATACATGATTTTTTTTGGGTTCATTATAGGTGAAAAACTATTGTCCTGTTTTTATTGAGAGGTGTAGTAAAATTTAAACAGCTAATAGGTTTATTTTCTTTAGGATTTGGTTAGAGAATTTTGCTTAAAATCTAGTTTTTTAAAAAATGTTAGCCTAAAAGTATACTCCTAAATTTAAATACATTATTTTATTGGATTCATTATAGGTGAAAAACTATTGTCCTGTTTTTATTAGGAGGTGTATTTTATTTAAGAAGCTAATGGGTTTATTTTCTTTAGTATTTGGTTCGAAAACGTATTTAAAATCGTATAAAAAGAAGTTTTCTTAAAATTTAAGCCTAAAAGTATACTCCAAAATTTAAATAGTTGAGATTTTAAAGCCTAAAAGTATGCTAAATTTTAATTAAACTTTCATTTAACTCTCAACAACTAAAGTGAAGATTTAGTTTTTAAACGTAAGTTTTTTTAAGAATATAAGCCTAAAAGTATACTACATTTTTAAATAATATTATACTTAATTTAAAGAAATGTTTAATCTTTTTTAAAAATTTCAAAAATATCTTCAAAATCAAGAAAGTCTTCTTAATATTTCCCCTCAAACGAACAACAATTACTGCTCATTCTAAATCTTTAACAAAAAAACAAAAGTTTAAAAGCATCAGCTCTCAAAAGTATGCTACATATTTTCAGTGTTTTAGGCAATACTTTTGTGAGTTATTTCGTTTTGATTTTGATTAAATCTAAACCATTCGCCTTAGTTGAGTGAAATTTTCCCTACATCAATCTTAACAAAGGTCTAGACTATCAGGCGGGCGAGGTAAAACCTTCCCACCAATTCTTTCTGAATAATTTTTACAGCTTTTGAAATATGGCCCTACATTGACCTAATGTAGGACCATGTATTCGTTACAGATGCCTTGTGATAGTTCGGCCACACTTCATAATAAAACGGACTCCATCGGTCCCGCCATTAGCAATTATTCCTAATGTATATTTAACTTTTAGGTCGATTTAACTTCATGGACGAGCTTTACATACGATCTGGTATGTCAAGCTCTAAAATCCGAACGTAGAAGGTTAAGCGTCCTAAGATTTTAGTAAGAAAAATGGCTTAAAACTTCGTTTAACACCTAAAAACACACATCGTTTAAGGGCACTTTTAATCCTTGTAGATATGCCTTAAGTTTTTAGAATTAAAAACCAATGTTAGCATTTGCTAAGCCGCCTAAAAGTGTACTACAATACTTGATTCATATTAAAAACGTAGCAGACTTACTATAAACCAATGTTATTTAGATTAAAGAAAACTTTAACATTTTCTGAAATTAAGTTTAAAAGCACATGCAGATTTTGTAAAAAGTAGTTTTAAGCCTACAGGATATGCTATAGTTTCCCAAATACTTAATAATTGCTATTTTTATAGCAATTATATTGAGCAACTAATCAATATTTAGCGATAAAAAAAATAAGCATAAAAATATGTATGCATGTATGTGTTTCTAATTCGATTCTTAAAACTATATAAAGAGATAAACCTTTGCTTTTCCTTCTTTTTCTAGTTATTAAACACAATTTATTTATTTATACCGACATTCGTGTAAGTAATATTGTACTTGAAACATTGCGTGTTTAATTGTATTGAAAATACATTAGGTTGAGTTCTTGTTTTTACCACTTCTTCTGAGAAAAAAAAGTAGCAAATTTATTAAAAAGAAATACAACATGTAATATTTAG